TTGAGAAAATCTTCCCACTTCTATTTTGCATGAATCTCGCGTATAATAGGCACGGTGTGCTCGCGCAGTTCGAGCGCAACTTCGTTGCGCGTGAAACTTGGCGCGAGGCACTACCGTGCCTCTTGATAAGTTTATTTTGTAAGCATACTTTGTTTGTTGTAAGTACGGTTAGTATTTAGCGTCTAGCGTTGTAGTTGTAGCGGGCGCAGTCACCAATTTTTAGTTTTTATAAGTACCTGTAAGGAAAATGTTTTTTTGTAGTTTTAGCTTAAAGAAGGGAACCTGGAGCATAAGAGGAAAAACACATATTAAACGTCCACACATCACACATACAACACATACACAAATTTACAGCCGTTAGGCTCGAGTTTTCAGTCATATTACATACATCATCAAACACACGGATAAGGAGTCAAACAGATCAAAAACGCACACAATAGGCACACACACCATGCACACATAGTATCACTCATTAGTCACAACATCTAGCACACAACACATATACAGACAAACACTTACATAAGTAGGGAGACACACGTTAGTCACACAGTCGTTACACACACATCACACACACACAGTTTCAACGCTTAATATACAGATTCTCGTTTATACCACATACACACCCAGATTCACGCTTAAGCAAACATTCACACATCAAAATGTTAGGCATCACACACACATCATTCACACAAAGTTTCAATGCTTAAGTCACACATTTCATTCATACTACATATACACCCAAACGCACACTTAAGCGAACATTTACACGCCACACAATTAGATATCACACGCACATCACACTCACAAAGTTTCAGTGCTTAAGTCACACATTTTATTTATACTATGTACACACCCAAACGCACACTTAAGCGAACATTTACACGCCACACAATTAGGTATCACACGCATATCACACACACAAAGTTTCAGTGCTTAAGTCACACATTTCATTTATACTACATACATACTCAAACACATACTTAAGTGAACATTCCTACACCACACAGTTAAACATTACACTGACACCACACACACAAAGTTATAGAGTTTAACCTCTGAAGTTAGTTCATACGACACACACACAAACATACGAATAAGTACTAAAACATACACCATTCATACTGTAGCCACACACACAACACACACACAAAGTTGGAAACCTTATGCTCAAGGTTCAGATTGTAGCAACGAAGACCGCGCATGCGCAAGCGGTACTACTTTGCAGCGACGGAGTAGACGCCCGGGGAACAAAAAGGCGCGCAGCGCCAAGCGAGTTAGTTACACTTCGTCCATCAATGCGTAGAGTACGTGGTATATTGATGCAAATAACAAACGAAGTTATACTCAGTATTAAAAGTAGAACCTCGACCATCGATGCGTGTAGTACGCGTGATACCGATGCGATTAACAATCGAGGAAATACTCGTGAGGTTTATCGTAATATATAAGTCGAATCGCATCATCCGTAGCATACAGACGTGTTGTAGAAAACGCATATAAAAAGTTGGCGAGACACTCGTGGTATGTGTAGATCGTGCACAATAAGAGTATACAGTGTACTGTAGATTGTCTATGTGAATTTGACAGTAAAGTGAACAATAAAAGATACCAATAGTTTGTAAAATACAAACATTGTGTGTGATTATTCGATCTGTGTACCCGGTCCTATGAGAAGCGTCGATCCTGTTATCAGCGAGGACGTTGTAGGAACTCAACCCCTGGCGCAGATCAGATTCCTTGGTAGTTAGAAGGGAAAATACCTGGCGACCGTGATAAAAAGGGCGTAAAACGTGAGTACCCGGCCAAATTAGATCCTAACCCCGGTCACAACCCAACCTTGTCACCGACGGCCGTAGGGACGCGGGAGACAACACCGGAGGAGCAACCAACCAGAAAAGAGAAGGCGAATGCCGGTTCCGGAACTTAAGAATTTGGACATCTCCGAAAGTGACACAAAACAGTGAACGGACCCTTAGTGGACCCGTCTAGAGACTTTAAGACGCAGTTGGCGTAGCGTAGAAAGCGCCAGTGTCAAGCGTAGCGTTAGATTCAGTTTAGTTATTTTTCCGCAAAAAAGAACACACCCTTAGGGTGGTGGCTTTAAGTTCTAGTGATTTTTCTGTTAAAAAGCGCAAACGCGTTACAAATCAGTTGTTTTCGTTTTGTTAGTTAGTGTTACGCTACGTTGACGTATAATAACCCGTGTTAAAAACCGACAGTGTAAAGTACGGGAAAATCTTAAAGTTTTTAGTTTTTGCGTTTCATGCACCAGGCGACGTGCATTTAAATATAGTCCTTGGCGGCTGTAACAATTTTGTTTTTGTCCAGTTTAGGGACAGGTGACCCTAATGCCCGTTTTCTCCAACGTGGTTCAATTCAGAGTTCCGGTGAACTGCGATTAACTTTGATTAGAGTTTAATCTTTGGTCAACTTGTTTTGCTTTCCTTCAACTTTATATTCGTTCCGATCAACTGAACGTACACCTTATGCGTGTTAACTCTAACTATATTTGTATCAAGTAATGTGATTGGTGCATAAGTAATGATAGGTAATGCTAGGTAACCGTGTCATAACCGAACTCAAAACTTATTTTTTCGGGAGAGTGTTCTGGTCATTAAAAATGGATCAAATATCAATAATAGATCAAGTACAAAAGTATAAAAAACAAAGAACAAAAAATTTTTCAGAAGCAGAGAAAATGCTTCTTATTGAATTAGTGCAAGAGAGGCGTAAACTATTAGAAAATAAANTAACAAATAATGTTTCTGTAAAAGAAAAAGAAGATTGTTGGAAAGACTTGCAAATAAATTTCATGTCTCGTTNNAAGGGAACTGTACGGACTGTACAAGCTCTAAAAACATGCTGGGAAAATATTAAAAAAAGGACCAAGAAACAATATGCTGAAGAGAAACAGGAGGTTTATAAAACAGGTTAATATCTTTATCTGTTTAGAATAACATCTTTAACTTTTGGTGTGTGCATATATATACCACACACACACACACACACACACATATATATATTTATAATGTAATGCATGTTTGCAGGAGGAGGACAATATAAGGCTATAAATGATCCAATAGCTGAACAAGTACGAGAAATAATAAGACCAGCAGTAGAAGGTTTATCGAATATTTGTGATAGTGACTGCATCTCAGGATTTGAAGGTATGGATAATGCCATTAAATATTATTTTATTGTGTAATGTTTAGTAAACATCATACAACAGTTTTTATAAATCAGTAATTTTTAAATTTAGTTATAATGAAGTTATTTGTCGTATACATGTTGTATCGTAATGTTATTTTATTCATATTACAGATACTGTCGATAAAAATGAAACATTTGTAGAAGAATGGCTAGATGTAACAGATGATAGTGTTACAGAAAGAGACNAAGATGATATAGAAAGAAACAAAAGTGGTACGGAAGATGAAAGTATTAAGGAAAGAAACGAAAGCGATATGAAAGACAATGATGAATTTGATAAGGAAAATGACGTATTATTTAATGTATGGCTATAATAATTAATAGTGTTCATAATAATGTGTACAAATTGGATGAGAATTGTAATTATTTATATATTTGACTGTCATTTTGCAGTTTCTTCAAAAAGATAAATTAAACTGGAAAAATTGGAATCCACAAAAATTACAAACACCAATTAGTATTCCACTTAGAACATCAGTGAAAAAAAAGTCTGCAGCATTTGTGGAGCATTTAGCCAGTACTAGTAGCCAAAAGAAAAAATTAAAAGAAAATGATTTCGTGTCATCAGCANTCAAGGAAACTGTCAGTAAAACAAACAATCGATTAAAACACATAAGTAATAACAATCGCAATACCAGACTTGTAAAATTTGATACATTAGCAGATTGTAAACTAGAGTTAGTAAATTTACTGATGGATAACGGAAAAGAAAAACATGAATTTGAGACTGAAATTTTAAAAACGCAATTGCAAAAAGAAAAAGTACAACTTGAAATAATGCAAAAAGAATTAGAATTAAAAACTTTGATCTTAGAAAGAGAACAGCAAAGATTTATAAACACGTCATAATTTCAATATGCATATTATACCTTTTTTTGATGAATTAGTCTTGAAAGTTTTTATTATTTTCGTAAAGTGAAGTAAAAGTTCATTTACAATTATCTTAAATTTTCTGAAAATGTTTATTAATGTTATTTTTCTATAAGGCTGTTTAAATAACACTATAAAACTAAAGGCCNAAAACTAAATATAAAACCAAAGATGTTCCTGATACATTTTGNTTTCTGAACATAGAATGTAAGATAAGATTCTTTTCTTGTTGTTGTATAAGATTAAAACTATTAATGCAAATGCTTTTTTATAAAATTAAAAATGCAAATATATTTTATTTGCATTTAAGATAGTATACTTTTATAGTTCTTGCTAAGTAAAGTTTTGTTTACTAAAGAGATGTGATANTATAGTAATAATAAGCTTAATTATTTGTCATAAATGTTATATTTGTCATAAATTTTTTATTTGTTAGCGATACAAGCAATCTTATGTAATACTAGTTTAAATAAAAAAAAGCGATAGTTACATTGTCAAAAGACATGATTTATTTATTTATTTATCTAAATAAGTAATATTATAATAATGTATTTACATGTCATGTATACTGTCTTTTTATATTTACGTTTCTTCGAGTAGTCCGAACTTACAATAAACTGTAATACACAATGTAATTATTAATATTTTTCAATATTTTGTACAAACTATAAATATTACAATACTTATTTGTTCTTTACCTCCAAAAATAATTGTTAATAAGTATTCTTCTTTCGACTGCATTTTGACTTTCCTTATTTCTGTTGTCCGCATTATCATTTATA